CTCAATTCCCCTCTGTCATATCATGAAGCCCAGGAACTTGCCCGCCTTTACTCCAAACAAGCACTTATCTAGGTTTAGCTTCATGCTGAACTTATTTAAATTTCAAATGCTTCCTCTAAGTCCTTAGGTGGTTAGTAGCTTGAGCACTTTTGATGATCATATCGTCTACATACACTTCTACTGTTCGCCCTATCTAGTGTTGGAACATGCAGTTAACCAGTCTCTGATATGTGGTTCCTACATTTTTTAGACCGAAGGGCATTACCTGATAGCATAAATTCCCCTATATGTAATTAAGCTCGTCTTCTCCTCATCTAGCTCGTTCATCTTTATTTGGTGGTATCCAATAATCACATCCACGATGTTGTATACTTCATAGCCAGCCGTTGAATCTACTAGTTGGTCTATGTTGGGCAGAGGGTAGGAGTCTTTGGGGATGCTTTATTTAGGTAGGTCAAATCTATATACAATCCCCACTTTCCATTGGGCTTAGGTACTAGGACTATGTTCGCCAACCATTCTAGGTAATCGAATTCTCTTATAAATCCTGCATGCAACAACTTGTCTACTTCGGCTGTTATGGCTTGTTACCTTTAGGTCCATGGCTTCACTTCTTTTGCTTCACAGGTTTGCAGTCTGGATCCATACTGAGTTTATAAGATATGATGTCGAGGTTAATCCCGATTATGTCCCCAAGGGTCCAGGCGAAGCTATTAAGATTGTCTTCTAATAACCCTTTTATGTTATTTTCTATCTCCATAAGCAGCTCGGCCCCCAAGGTCAGGTATTTCCCTGGCTTAACTTCCCATTTGACTAGTTTGCCTACATGTGTTGGGCTTGAATCTGAGGTGTTTTTGGATATTTCAAGGGTTGATGTTCATCTTGCACTGCGTATGTTTCCTCATTTGGCATCCACATGATGGGTAAGGTGAGAGGTATCCCTTTCAGCGCTATCATGTACGCTTCCCGAGCCATCTTCTGGTTTCCCTTCACAGCCACCACCTTATTATTATTAGAGTAAAATTTTAGAGTGAGGTACTTGATGCATATGATTGCTTCCAATTCGTATAGGGCAGGTCGGCCTAGTATGGCGTTATAAGGAAAATGGATGTCTGCTACCATGAATTCAGAATTAAATCTTTTTGAAATACCTTCGGTTTTGAGCTCTAAGGTTACATCTATTGATCCAGCTATTTGAATTGGCCTCCCTACTAAACCAACTAGAGGGGTTCGGACAGGCTTTAGCTTCGCCTAATCTAACTTCAAAACTTTAAAGAACTCCATAGTCAATAAGTTAATCACACTACTATTATCTACTAGGATTCCTTTTACTAAGAAGTTTTTAAAAACTCCTTCTATCACCAAGGCATCATTATATGGGGTATGTACTTGCTCGCCATCTGCCTTAGAAAATGGGATATATGGTCTCATATTCGGCTTTTGTTGGGGTAGGATAGAGTAAACCTCTCTAGCCCTCCTTTTTCTAGTTAAGTTGCTATCGGCCCCTGACGAACACCAAAAATTATGTGAATTGTGCCTAGAGTGTTGCATTGCCTCGCCTGTTTTTCTTTCCCTTCGGTTTCCTTTTGAACCCTCCCCCCAAACTCTTTTAGTTCACCTCTTTGTATGAGGCGTTCGATCTCTTTTTTCAATTGCCAACAGGCTTCAATCTCATGGCCAATGTCCCTATGAAATTCATAAATACTTTTTTTATCTCGATAGCCCGAGGTATCTTCTTTCATCTTTCTGGGATAGTTGAGATGAACATTGTTTCCATGGTCTCTTACCCAAGATAGTATTTTTGAGCATAAATTATTCAAAGGAGTGAACTCTCGGTCTCGTTATGATCTATCATCTCTTGAGTAAGGTGTTCTAACATCATAGCTAGCTCGCGAGTGTAGGAAAGGCGATCTTCTTCTGGGCGATCATCTCCTTATTGGAGAGGGGTGTCTTCTGTGTTTGGATTGTTCTTCCTTAGGCAATCTCTGATGTTGAGTTTCATAAGCCTCGTCCAACTTTATGTATTTGTGAGTTCGGCAAAAGTTAGGGGAGGATTTATACTTAGAATCTTGAACAATTTATTGTATTTGCAGTTCTTCGTCATGGCATTGATTGCCACTTCATCATTCAAGTTCTCTACTTGCATCACTGTTCTTTGAAATCTATAGATGTATTATCTCAAGGTCTCTCCATCCTCTCTTCTTGATCTACCAGGTCAGATGAGATTTTCCTAGATGGCACACTCGTTGTGAATTAAGCTCGGAACATTGTAGCTAATTGTGAGAATGATTGGATGTATCCCGTTTTAAGGGTCTGATACCATTCATGAGCTGCTCCTTTTAGGGTGATTGGGAAGACCTTGCACATAAGGTATACAGAGTTGGTTTGGAGGTCCATCATGATTCGGAAGGTCGCTAGGTGACTGCGGGTATCAGTAGATTCGTCATGGGATTGGAAGGTCAGAATTTTGAACTTTGGGGGAAAAGTTGCACCCAAGATATTGGCTAACAAGGGTGAGACCTGCCGGAGATCGTGGTCCCCTACCTCTCCTGTTTCTCTGCATTCTCTAACCAGTTCTTTAATAACGTTTTGAAGATTGGCATTATCCATGATCGGTTGTGTATGGCTCGGCTCCTGAGCATAGGGAGTGGCCATACTGAGGTTCACCTCCGACTGCGCCTCATAGAGTTGTTCAGATGCTAGGTGGCTTTATCATTTCGGTGTTGGCTGAGATGCACCATGCTCTTTGTGATGTTGGTTCGTTGGTCCACCTAGGGGCGTCAGTTTGCCACCTTGATAAGGGATTTTGAGAAGGCATTTCAGCATAGTTTTGAATTGTGAGTATGCTTGGACTAGGGAAGCGGAGGGGGTATCATGGCCAGTCTAGTCGCCTCGCCATGGCTATTACCCTGACTCTCCGTGTTATGGTGTTCGAATAGTTCATTGGTCATAGTGTTTAGGATGAAAGGGGTTGAAATTATTAGGGATTAAAGGTGTGTTCCAACCTCGCCGCACCAATTGTTAAGATCTCATAAATTGAGGATTGAGTGAATTGTGAAATTAGCCCCTTTTAGGCTTAATTGAGAATATTTATAGTAACAGAGAGATAATTATAGTTAGATAAGGATAGTAAAAATCCTAAGTTATTTGTTAATTAGAGTTTGTTTAGGAGTCTAATATCTTTTATATATTTTATTATTTTATATATAGTGAATTGTTGAAATAGCCCCTTTTAGGCTTAATTGAGAATATTTATAGTAACAGAAGAGATAATTATAGTTAGCATAAAGCGCATTAGTTAAAAATCCTTAAAAGTTATTTTGTTAATTAGTAGTTTGTTTAGGAGTCTAAATCTTTATATATTTATATTTTATATATATATATAATAATATATATTATTTATCCTATATATATATATATATATGAGAATCAAAATGAGTTTTTCTCCAATGCTAACCGGCGCTCCTTTTTAAAAAAGTGAGCTTGTTATAGATTTTGAGTATTTATTTTGTTGCGAAATTTCTTGAACATTTCTCTTTTTTTTAATCCACTTTTCTCTTCACATCATTTACTTTTTTTAATAATAAATTGTTCTTTTCATTTTTGTGATTTTAAATTCATCAATTATGGCAATATAAAAAATTTAAATATTTGCAATACATTTTTCTAGATTTTCATAATTTTTAGATTTTCATAATTTATATATATATAAAGATTTTTATTTTTTTTAAATTCAAATTAAATATGCTATTTATTTTTTTGGTAGAAATCAAATATGTGATAAAAAAACAATACAATGCCTAAATCTTTAAATTTTCATAATTTATAAATATAAATTTTTTTTTATGTAGTCTAAACTTCAAATCACTATTAATATGTTTAAAATTTTAATAATTTAAAAAATGTTAAAAAAACCATGTATTTCCAAAATACACATTATAAAATATAATTTAAAAACGATAAGATAAGATGGTGAGTAGTATTCTTTTTTTCTTTTTTTTTTTTTCTCTTTTGATTTGTTTAATCATGATTTTGAGTTTTTGAGTTAATTATAAAGATACAAGTTTAATTTTTCTTTTCATGATAAGTTTGAATATTTTCAAGTCTATAATATTTAGGATATTCAAATTTAGTTTATTGTTTGTATGATTATATCAAATTTATCATAAAAAAAAAGGCTATATATGTGATTTTTTTTATTTTGATTTAAAATTTAAACAATTGGGTTAATGGGAAATTAGTGATTTTCGATTTAAAAATTTTTTTTTTTGTTGATTGAGAATTTAAATATTTATATATCGTCATATATAAATAGAAAGTTCAAGATTATCTTTTTTTCACTATTCTATTTTTTTTTATAAAATTTTAAAATTTCTTTCTATTGTTTAAAGTTTAACTTAATTCTTTAATTTGTGGCATTTCATTCTTTGTTTGAGTTGTTTACTTGATTTTATTTTTTTCTTTCATTTTCATTTTATATTTTGCTTAGCTTAGTTTTATTTTGTTTATTTTTGCAGGGATTTAGGGATTTAAGTTTGAGCAATTTCAAATGATTTAAATATGTCTTATGCAATGAATTAACTATTATGTTTTAAATTTTTTTTTAATTATATACTTCCAATTAGATAAATCTCTACAAAAATAAAAACTAAGTATTTAAATTATTTTAAATACCTACATTAAATACCCCTACAAGACGTTTATATATAATAATTTCCAGTCACTGTTTTCGTAAAAAAATGAATTTTATAATTTACTAAGCATATATATATCTTACATTTGAAATAAAAAATATAAATTATTATACAGCCGCGCGAAGCATGGGAGGACCACTACGTGTGTTGTATAATATTATATATTATATTATATATATATATATATAAGCCAATAAAAAATGATTTTCTTAGAACATGTTACTGTTTCCATTCTATTCTAGAGAGAGAGAGAGTAATTCTATTCTATATCATATTTATAGAACATCATAGGGATGAGAAACTCACATTGTTTTTCGATTTCGAATCCAATCTGGCACTGTTCCACTCAGCATATTCCCAGTAAAGTATCTGGAAACATTAAACAACATTATATAATACTTTCAAATCAATTTTTTGGAGTTGATCTAAAATCAATTATAAGAACAAGTACATTTAAATCAATTGCTCACATGAAATCTGTCTTTGATAAACTGGAAAAGCTGCTTGGGATTGGTCCAGTTAGTTTGTTAAAACTGAGGTCTCTGCAAGATAAAATGATGAACCAAACCATCAGAAATTGTTCATTGAACCAAACCATAAGAAGAATTGTTTCATTTCCTGTAGCGTCGAGAAACTCATGTTTGTTTGTTAATTTTTTGATTTTTTTCTCTTTTTTTTATTTACTTGTTTTTTTTTTTTTTTATCCCCCGCCCCCCCCCCCCCCCGCCCCCCCCCCCGCCCCCCGTTCCCCTTCGCTCCCCCCCCCCCCCCCCCTTATTCGCCTCTCCCCCCCCCCCCCCCCCCCCCCCCCCCCCCCGCCCCCCCCCCCCCCCCCGCCCCCCCCCCCCTCCCCCCCCCCCCCCCGCCCGCCCTCCCCGCCCCCGCCCCCTCCCCACCTCCTCCCTTCGCGCCCCCCTCTTCCCCTCCGCCTCCCCCGTCGCCCCTCCCCCCCCCCCCGTCCCCCCCCCCCCTGCCGGGTTTTGTTTTTTTTTTTTATTTTCTGTAGTTTTGTTGTGTTTTCTTTTGGTATTTTTTCTCCTCCATTCCGCCCCCCCTCCGCCCCGTCCCCACCCACACTCCCCCCCCCCCCACGCCTCCCCACCGCTTTCCCCCCCTCCCCCGCCCCCCCACCCCCCTCCCCGCGCCGCCCCCCCTCCCTGCCCCGCCGCCCCGCCCCCCCTCGTTCTCCCCCTTTCCCCCCCTCCCCCGGTCCGGATCCCGGCTCTTTCTATTCCTATTTTTTTTCTTCTAGAACTCTGTTACTCTTCCCTCCCGCCGCCGCGTCCCCCCCCCCCCCCCTCCCCCTCTTCCGCCCCGCTCCCTTCCCACCTGTTGTTTCGTTGACTCTCGGTCCGTCTCGGACGTTGTTGTTTATGAGTCCTCTTAAATCAATTATAAGAACAAGTACATTTAAATCAATTGCTCACATGAAATCTGTCTTTGATAAACTGGAAAAGCTGCTTGGGATTGGTCCAGTTAGTTTGTTAAAACTGAGGTCTCTGCAAGATAAAATGATGAACCAAACCATCAGAAATTGTTCATTTCTGTAGCTCGAGAAACTCCAGTTTGTTTCTATTGATATACAATCATTATCTCTATTTTAGATACAAAGAAATAGTTGACAATTAGGCTAATCTTTATATTTACTAACAAGGTGGAGCTCAATTTGGTAAATTGTCCAAGATATGGAGGTAGTTGTCCACCAATATTGCAACTCCTTAATATCCTGCAACATAAATATAGTTGCAAATATTAGAAGAAAAAACCATAAAAAGAGAAGAAGAAGAAGAAAAAGAATTACTTGGTAAAACGACATTCAAACTCACAGTATCTTCAGGTTTTTCAAATCATTCAAAGGTGGAAATGATATTTCAGTTCCATTACTCAAGTCACTAATTCTCCTACAACCCAAGAATATAACAAGTAATTACAACACATATAACATTTTTGTTGGCATTAATTGTAAGTGATTAAATAAGTCATTTCAAAAATATTTTCTAGAGATAAGTTTTTTTCCAGAAACAAACAGAGTCTAAATATGGAAGATTGATTCACATACAAGTCAATCATCTTTGTCAAAAGACTTATGCCGGTTGGGATTGGCCCACTTAAGCCACTAGCCTGAATCACTCTGCAAGCACCAGAATTTGGTTCAGACAAATAATCAAAGTATTGATAATATTTCTTTATTAAGCCGGGCGGGAAGGAAGAAAACTCTTACAATCTTGTAATATTAGTCCAATTCTGAATAAGGCTGGGGATCTGGCCTGTGAACTGGTTATCTCCGATTCGACTGCATTTTGTTACAAGAACATATATAGGTATTTTGTATTTTTAAATGGAAGAGTAGGTTTTAATTAGTGTGAGCATTTCTCTGATAATGTAGAAACTTACAAGTCGTCCAATGTGGTGAGGCTTGCAAATGTTTCAGGCAACTGCCCACTAAAATTATTGGAGCTGAGCAGCCTATAATAACATCAAAAGGAGAAACTAAAATCAATGGATTGTTCCATCTGAATATCTACAAGCATTTTACAGCAAAGCTAATTACACCATTTGCGTGTTATTATTAGGCTTTATTTGGACCTGAGATTAGTGCAGTATCAATGAATCTAAAAATATGATTACTTATTTATTTGAACTTTTCTATTCCCTCTCCCAAAAAAGAAAAAAAAAAAAAAAACAATAGGAGACTGATCAACCATTAATGAAATGAAACGTTCAATACGAAGGAACTTACATCCTTCTAATGTTGTTTAAATTTCCAAGCTCTTGAGGCAGTTCTCCTGAAAGTTGATTGGATTCAACCACACTGTGTATTTAATCATCAATGGGAAACACCTTGTAAGCATCATATATATTTATTTAGCTTTATTTAAAGAGGCATATAAACATGATCGATGAGCATAATTTCATCTTACAATTCTATCAGAGTACTGATGTTTCCAAGTTCTTTTGGAATTGGTCCTGTCAATCTGTTTCCCAGAAGAGAGCTGCAACCATCCATTTATTCAATTTCAGTTCCAATCCGAAATGAAAATGATAGAGAAAATTAAATTATATTATAACCATTTTCCCTCGATAATCTATTAAGAAGATAATTAACATACATTACTTCGAGTTGTGTGGAGCCCCATGTTGAAGGTATTGTACCGTTAAGGTAGTTTCGAGTAAGGTCACTTCATGAATGAGAAACAACAGCCATAAGTTATTGTTGAGTCAGTTAATGCAGAAAAATATGAGTGAAAGTAACTTTTTTGCTACTTACATATTCTTGAGGTAGGGCAACTTGCTCAAATCTGTTCGAGTAAGGTCACTTCATGAATGAGAAACAACAGCCATAAGTTATTGTTGAGTCAGTTAATGCAGAAAAATATGAGTGAAAGTAACTTTTTTGCTACTTACATATTCTTGAGGTAGGGCAACTTGCTCAAATCTGTTGGAAGCATACCTTGGAGACTCTGGGTCTTTAGTGATCTGTGCTTCCAGAGAAATTGTAATTATAAAATTAATGTCCAAACAATAACTCTAGATGATAATTACAATTTATTATCAGTAAACAATATTTGAATGTTCGTTTTCTATTAAATTCAGCTATAATCCCAGAAAATTTATATTATAACAAAATGCATTCGATGAATTAATATATTTTTCCATTCAAAATTTATTATTAACCAATGCCAGAGACTTTATGTCATTATCCTTTTCTTTTGTGAAAAAATCAGCAAATCAAGTAGTTCATATATTAGCTAGGGTCACTGATTCTATGTCTGGTTTATGCCTCATTTGATGGAGTGGCAGCAAATACCTCCAGCTATTATTTATGATGCACTGGTGTCTGATATTAATAGTAATTTAGCAGTATAATTTTCAAAAAAAAAAAAAGAAAAAAAATACCCATGATATTAAGAAAGAAGGCAAAGTGGGTTTTGGCCTTAAGAAGGGAGGGCAGCGGTATTGGAGAGGCCATGGTCCCTGTTTCCAAAATTTTGCAAGCCTTTTTATTTTAATATTATATATAAGGGAGAAAACACTTAATTTATATTCTCCTTGGAAAAAAATATTTTAAAAGTTTTTGTTGATCATTGGTTTATTTTAAACTAATCAAATCTAACTAAACTCATTGGTTTTATTTAATCTTTTCTTTTTTTTTTTTAAATATATTTTAATATATTATATAATATTTTTATATAAATTTTGTCCTGGTCAATGGCTTAATCGTAATAAGATCAAAGCCCCACAACCTGTAGTAGAATAGATTCCTTGCTTTCTTTTTTCTTATTCGATTTCCTTTTTATTATATATATATACTATATTCATGAAATATATATATATATTCATAAATTTTGGTTTGATTTCATTTTTTATATAAAAAATCGTAACTTTTTTATTTGGTTTGATTCTTTAAAAATCATAAAAATGAACTAATTGTAATCCAAAATATAAGTAAAGGCTGAAAAATCCAACCGAACAAATTAACTAGTTCAATAGGTTTTATTTCAATTTAGTTTTTTCTATGCAAAAATTCAGTTTGTATTGATTACAAATTCATTTACTTGATTGAATTTTTTTCTCTACAAAAATTTAATTCGAATGAATTCAAATTAAATGAATCGAATATCCACCTTGTATATACTTCATGTTTAACGAAAATAAGAATGCATATTTTGAATATATACAACTGATTAAATTAAACTTTGGTTATTGATACGGTGTAACGAAAATATTTATATGTAAAAATGCTTCAACAATATCTATATATATAAAAGATATTTCCAAAAAAAAAAAAAAATCTATACATATAAGGTAAAAAAAAAAAGAAAAAGAAACAAATATTTTTTAGTTATTTCCAAAAACTGTTGCTCTCTAATATATAAAACTGTTGCTCTCTAATATATATACATATAACTTAAAAAAATTTCTGAACTTTTCTTCCTTAATTAGTTAAAATCTTTCTCCAAAAGAATTAGTAAAAGAAAAAAAAAAATACAGTATTATGATTACTTCCTGGCTAGAGGGACAGAGACATACATCAAAATAACATGGCAGATGGTGCCATTGGAGAAAGAGCAATCACAAGTTATGTTATTATCTTGTCCGGTTGCTGGATTCGCCCATCCTGATTGGCGGGAGCATGGATCAACGCTAAAGTTCCAGTCTGTCTTCCCTAGTGTCTTCCCTATTTAACGAAGACCTTCCACTGCAAGATGTACGTATATAATCAAGAAAAGAAAAAAAGAGTTAAGGAAATCAGAGAAGGTTCAAAATCAAGATTATGGTTATATATATGAATCAAGATTATGGTTATATATATGCATGTGGTTTGCAATATTAGACCTTCATCATTTGGCAATTCAGCAGCTTCAAGAACTAAACTTGTGAAGCAAAAGATGGTAACCGAAGCAACAAGTAGTCTAAAGAACAACATTTTTTTCGATGTATATTTAGCAATCTTAGATGGCTTCTATTTATTGTGTGTGAGAGTATGGAGAGGGGAAGAGAAAATGGGAATTGGTAAGCTTTAGAGATTGGGACAAAAGTCTATTTCAAGAAGAAAAAGCAAAAGAAGAAGTCAGCAACCTATTTGGCAATAACTTCTCTTGCATTCTTTAAGGGTGTTGGGAGTGAGTTCGACTCTCTAATCTAAGATCGTTTAATGAAGAGTTTTATCAATACTTATAAGAAAAAAGGGATATAATACCTCGTGGAGCGGTTAGTGGTAATTAAGGCACACTTGACAGTATTCGTGGTAATATTTAAAAAAAAAAAAAAAAGAGAGAGATGTAGTGTTGCATTCGAGCATTAAGCTTATTTAGTCTTTTACCAGATTTTAAAAAAAAAAAAAAAAAAAAAAAAAAAAAAAAAAAAAATAAAAAAAAAAGGAAAAAACGATTGTCAAGAAGTAGTCAATTAACTTGTCGAGCAGGGTATATCCTCTAGTTGTGATCTTCCATGCTTATAGTATCAAATTGGAAAGGTCTCAAGTTTTATACCTTCTACACCCAAAAAGATTTTACTAATTTGTGTGAATAAAAGGAGATTGCCCCTTATCGTGTAGTCGATACAAGCACCGTTCTTTCAGCCATTGAACCTCCAATGATATAAAAAAAAATAAAAATCAACGTACTTAATTATTATGTTAGTATATATATATATATATACTATTATTATTATATATATGATAAGATTATTGAAATTGCCAAGCTTTAACTTTAAAAAGGAATTTTTACAAGATCCGTACGTAGGAATTTCTTCTAATTTTTTTTATGAAAATACATAAAGGAGATGAAAATTTTTGATTAAGGCGATGCATAGGGGCTGCACCGCTACCTAATATTTTTGGTAATTGATTTTTGACCGGCTTATATATATTCAGATGTAAATTTGACAGGATTGTAAATGAGGCCGAATTCAAGTCGAGAGTAACTCAGCAGTATCCCAGACGCAAATTAAAAAAACTCTCTCGAAACTTCGATTTGCTAAATTTTTCAAAAACTGGAAGCTTAGCTTTATTAGGTTGAGAGGCCGGTCCAATGGCCGTTGGATCAAATCCCAAAGAGTTTAGAAGGCTCGAAAACCCAAAGAGTTAAAATCCTTGGCATTACCTATGCATGTTCACCTTCTCATAAAAGTTAGGCCTTTTATGGAGTCTAAGTTCTCAATTAAGTTCCAAGATTAATTTAAGCTCTACATCAAATGATACATCACTTTTAGGAGCTGAGTTCGTTCATATATAGATATATATATAAAGTCCGAAATCAAACTGGTTTAGCTATTTTTAAAAGACTGGGTTGAATTTTTCCACTCATTCAAACCTCAGATCTTTTACCCGCCAAGCAGTACTTCTAACATTAACTAGAAAATTAGTCGATCAAACCAATTAATTAGGACAGTGAAAAGGATATTCCATCTACAATTAATTTGTGTGGCAGATAAACAACAGAATTTAAGAGCAAAGCGTCACCTACTATAGTAGAATAACATTGACTTGACTTAGTTATTGAGATATTTGGCCTCTGACAAAGTTCTTTTGCGCACAAATATTAACCACAACTAATATGTGATATAGAAAATGGGGGTAGGCATGTTTGGTTTTTTTGTGACATTTCTATAAATGACTGTGACATTGAAGTAACCCAATTTTATAAGGCTTGCTTCTAGGCAAAACCATCGTGGCTGTCTCCTGCAAGCCTTAACCTCCTTTATCACTGAAGTGCGAAAATGCTAGCCTCTAATTTTTTAATATTTGTCAATTGGTTTTAATAATTTATATTTTTTTAAGCTTCTCATAACTGCCCAATTGTTAATATTTTTACAAATACATTTTTATAATTTGCCAAAAAAACAAGTTGCTTTTTTAAAATTGCCGTTAAATTCACAAGTAATAATCTTATATATATACTATCACCTTATATATCTATATTATATATATATATATATATATATTATAAATATATATTACTATATATTGTTTAGATGGTAATTGTGACAGATTGTAAATGAGTCAAATTGTTATGAGAAGCTTCAAGCCTGCGGGCGCCAATAAAACCTCGCTCAAATTTCGTTCACTAAGCTTTTCCAAATTGGAGCTCGTTTTATTAGCTTGCAAGCCAGCGAGATGGTGGCTTGCAAATTGTTATGAGTAGCTCAAGCCTCGGCGCAATAAAACCTCGTTCCAAATTCGTTCCGCTCAAGCTTTCCAAATTGGAGCTCGATTTATTAGCTTGCGAGCCCAGCCAATGGTGGTCATCAATCCCCAATGCGTTAGAAGGGCCACGAAGCCCAAAGAGTTAAAAATCCTTTTGGTTTCTAGCGTGTTCACCTCGAAGGCTAGCTTTATTTGCGAGCCAAATTCTCAATAAGTCAATATTAACTAAGCTTTACAATCAAAATTACACTTTACGTTTAGTTTTATAGATTTCTGAGCCGAGTTTGCACTTTATAAGTTATTGAACTCAAATCTGAAGCTAAGCTCGAAGTTTTTAGCCTATTTTTTAAATTAGTGCCGTCTCTCTCATTTTAAATCGTCAGCTTCTTTCCAACCACCATTGCAATAAACTGATTTCTAACAATTAATAGATAACACACCAACAAAAACAAAATTAAATAGAAGTTGAAAAGGATATCCCACCCTACAAAACTAATTGTGTGGGCTAAACTACGTAATTTAAGAGTCTTTGCCAAAGTCTTTGCAAAATTAATAGAAAAGTGGAGAAAAAGGATAGCACTGACTTTATATAATGAAAGTAAAAAGGATAGAACATTGACTTATATATATCTATATATACTATAATTATATTATTGTGCGCAATGTGTGTGGTGTGTGTGTGTGGTGTGTGTATTTTAATAAAAGGAGAAGAAAAAAACGTTGCAGTTTTCTTCTCTAAAAACAGAAAAAAACCCTAAACCCCAACTTCATTTATCGATACTCTTATCTTAAACTAACTAAATAAAAGAAAACCCAGAAATCCCTAATTATTTTCTTCCATTCGCCTAAAGCGAAAGGGTAAATCTATATCTCAAAAATTAGTAAATTTGCACTCTATTTTAATGGAAATTTCTAAACGCTTATTTGTGCTGCATTTTTTATTGTGGAGAGAACGTTGGCTATTCTTCTTTAGTATGTGTTGCTGCGGGTTTGGTGGTGCTATGTCATAAAGAGTTATAACAAGTTATAAGTCTTATTTTTTAATGATGGGGACCATATTGCCTCATTGTATGCTCTTTTCTTCTGTGGTTTTTGTATTATGGCTCCAACATACTCTCTTTTTTTGAAGATAGGGCATAATTAATCCGTTTGGAATAATATGAATCCCATAAAATTTAATAGAATTCTTTTGGACGTTCAAAATTTTATGTGGAATAAAAGAAATGCATAATTTCAATTTATGAATTGAAACCGTCTAAGAATTTGGAATTATAAATAACTCAAATTTAAAAAAAATTTGGGAGGAATTTTCAAATAAATTCCATCAATAACTTGAACCATCTAAATTATTATTTGACAAAATTATCTTTTGTGTTCCTTATATCGCAAAAAATTTCATTAGGCTCCTAATCTCTCTCTCTCTCTCTTTCGTTACCCTCTAGCTGGCTCCCTTATCTCCTACTCTACACATTTCTGAGCCTACCCATAATTTAGATCATGATAAGCGCGCCGCACGAGTTAATTGGCATCTTTTTTATTTCGTCCATAAAATTAGATTAAGGATTCTCTTTTCTTATTCTTTTTGCTAATAAAAGATGAGCACTAGGCGTCTAAGATAAAGATAAACACAACTAGTTACGGTAACTCCCACTAAATCATGAAGAAGCCACTCGCTCAATTCCTTGAGCGAGGCCCATTCCAGAACATGGGTACCAAGAAGGCTTAGCTGCTGGCAAAATTTTCGAAGGATAATCCGCACAGTAATAATTTGGGGTAACAGGATTCTCCTTTGTTTGTGAAACATGATTGTACAAATGCCAATTACGCTATATAATAATTTGGATATCTACTAAAACATGTGCGGACATAATTCTGCTTTTGCTATTTTTGCAATTGTTGATGGTTCCGGTGTTTAGTTGCACACAAAAACAAAGACTAAATAGTGGACTAATTTTCAGTCGATTTTAAAACAAATGGGATTTTGTCACCGTTGAAAAAGGCATATATAAGGGTTGGCCAAAATCCGATTTTTTGGCAATCGGAAACCGTCCGATTCGAAACCAGGTCTTTGGAACCAAAACTGCAGAACTTTGCGGAACTAGAACTGATCAGACAATCGCGAACTAATACGAAGAGTTGCGGCTCCGGGTATTTCTGCGTTCTAAGTTTTTTAAAAGTGTGAATTAGCAGTTCTGAGAATTTAGCTAGAATCCGAAGGTTTTTGACACCGGTTTAGAAATCGGCCGTTCCAATGTTTCAACTGACGGTTTCCAAAAAATTTGAATTCTAATTTATAATGGGCTAGAAACCAGTGGTTCACTGATTAAAAGTTTGGATTGTTCGAGCCTGACACGGTTTCCATCGTTTTTAACACTTTTTTTTTTTAATTTTTTAAAAAAAGTTTTTTATCAGAATCTCCAAATTAACCTTTCAAAAGAACTATAAGTGGGCAATATAGTCAACTGAGTTTTAAGGGGTATTTTGTAGAAGTTTAGATTTTTGGATTTACGTATAACTTACCCCATTGATTTTCATTCATTCCTCACACCAAGTTATTTTCTCTCTACGTCTCTAGCTCTCCAATTTTATAATTACTAAAATCCAATAATATTGCCGAACAATTTCTCCCAATCTCTAATTGAAATCTCCTTTGAAAATTTTTCAAGATTATTTCAATAATATGCTCTTCTCTAATTATTTCCTCTAATTTTTTTCAATACTGCAATTTTTCAAAGTATACTCAATCAAGGCACAGTTAGCGGAAAATTTTAAGTTCGCAAAAGGCAAGAGAAATGTTGGAGAGGACAACAAATCTAGTCTTAGTCTATGCATCATGAATTGAACGATATGTTTGACTTCACTCCAATCAATTCGATTTTGAGGAATATCCAAATGAAAAATTACGTGGATGTTCAAACTTCAAGAATCCGAATTTATTATTGAAAAACAACTCATAACAGAAGGGTGTGATAAGAGGTTTACACAGTTTGTTCGCTCTTACCAAGA